GCCGGGGCGAGATCACCTAAGTTCGGCGAGGACGGTGGGGTGATCATCCTCGAAGGCACCGTCTGGAAGTCGCCTTGGATGGGCTCCATGCTGTACATGGTCGGGTAGAACCTAGTGTCCTCGATCTTCATCTTCGAGAAGTTGTCGTTGATTAGGTTATTGCAGGTGCCGGGGCTGGCGGGTGGGGACATCTGCTCGTGGTTGAAGAAGCAGGGGTCGGTAGGCGTCGGGAGGACGGTCATCAGGGCGTTGAAGGTCACTGTGTTGTTCTGGGCTATCGATCGCTGCTCGGGCATGAATGTGTTGATGTCGATGTAGTTGGTGTCCTCGACGTTGACGGGGACTTGGACCTGGGGGACGTTCTCGACCGGTTGGACGGCGAACTGTTGGTGCTCTTCGGCTGCGCTGTTTAGGAGGGCGTCGAAGTCGAGGAGGACGTCGCCGTGGTAACTGTTAATGTCTTCGGCGCGGACCTGGACGGCCGGGCCGAACCCGTGCGGGTTGGACGGTAACGAGGTGACTATGTTGCAGGTGTCGAGAAGAGGTTCTTCGGTGGCGTCCTTGACGGTGAGGACGACGGTGCTCATGGTGCCCACGCCGCACATGTTCACCGGCGAGGCTTGAGGAGGGGCCGGCTGCCCCAGGTACAGACCCAGGCTTTCCAAGTCATGCCACATCGGCTGCAACAAACAAAAAATGAGATCTGTTAGATATTAATTTTTATAGCGTGTATCAAAATAGAAGTAAGTATATCCGAAGAAGATGCTTAATTCGGTTCCTCCCGGGAGTAGACGAAGAGACGCATAGTGAAAGGGTGGCGATTGGGAGTTTAGAGGAAATGGGGTAGTGCCAACTCTCTGAAGGGCTTGGGGTGGATAGGGGACTTTGGCGGTTGGGTGTCGCAGAGCGCCAAAGAGCGCTATGAAAGCGGCTTTTAATGTAAGTATGTATATCATGAACTCTTGAAATGATCCGGCTACGGAGCAAGGGTGGATTGTAAAAGTTGAGCGAATGTAACATCTACAGGAAAAAGAAACAGAAGTAGAAGGAAGAGGTAGAAGTAGAAGTAGGAAGGTAGAAGTAGAAGTAGGAAATAGTCATGGCTGGACGAGCTTATCGAAGAAATTGGAGCAGATTAGGAAAAAGAAAGCACAAGATCGAGAAAAGATGCTTAGCTGCATTACAGTCTTAAGCAGCGCAAACTATGATTTTTTGGGGGGAGATGGAGGGAGGGGGGCTCAGAAATACACGTTACTTTTTTGTTTGAAGGGTAGGCCTATAACTTTTGAGACATTCCGGTAGTCAAAAAGTGACATTCTTTTAGAGTACCAGTAGCTAGGCACTTATCAAGTAAATTTTTTATCCAGAAAAATGGAACCGACGGGTTACGTTAATATTGGCTCATCGTCATAAATTTCTTTCATATATTCATTCATCTCGATTTAAGAAATTAAATCTTAACCCTTTGAATGAGATGAGAAAGTAACTCCAGCAAGTCCCGCGTGAAAAATATCGATTCAAAAGATCGATTCTGTTTGTTCCTCTTTTTCCTGCTTCTTTGGGAATTAATTTACGAGCAAAAATTCTAATAAACCACAATCGCGGTACAATTTTCTGGCTTTCACTAACTATATGTAAACGGCTTGACGTACATTTGCGTAAATTTTCAAATGCAAAAGCAGCTAACGTGTCATATTCAATTTCTCAGTCGGTATCTTGGAATCCTAAAAATAATTTCGAGAGCCAAAAATCTTCGAATTGATACGTAGAGGAGCTTGTACTCTGTGGGTCGCTCGCATAATTCAAAGAGAAAACTCGTTTCCGAAGATTTAGATCTCACATTAATAACAGGTCTAGGAAGGATGAGTCCGGCGATAACTTGCACTGAGGATCTATGAATAATTTGATAATAAAACGCTTTGCGAAAATGAGAAAAAGGACGGTTACATGCCACCTACAAAAGAATTATAGCCGCGGATTTATGAATTACGTAAGCATCGAACGAAAACCGATTAGCATTTTTGTACAGTTCAAAGGCATTTCTTTGATAGATTAGGCCTGTGCTCGGGTCATTGCGTGCGGGCCCTGAGTAGTCAAAATTCTTGAAGCCGGGGACTTTGTCTTAGATAATACCTGGTTTAAGGCCTCCTACGGCCTTATGTTTATTTACATTCACCAAACCTTCATTTTGAACCATTGGCAGTTTTTTGAACTCACAGATAAACAGTCATGAGCCTGAAAAAGTCCAGAAACATTTTTTCCGTGAAGAATTTTGGGTTTGGAATGTGTGACCTTCTGAAGACAGTGGAATCCACGCGACTTTTTGTAGCCAAAAATTGGAATAAGGAGATATATTTCCGATACTTCTCCTCGCTGCAAAAGAATAATTTTCGGTCTTGTCCAACATTGTACTAATACAAAGGTTTTGAACTAGATTCCTATCTTAGTATATCTCGCGATATAATGTCTCTCCTTTAAAAAAAAATAAAAATAAGAAAACCGCATTGAAGATTACTTTTGTCTCCGTGTATGGCGCGAGGGGGGCGACAGCCTTCACAAAGTTTTCAGGGTTATTTTTTTAGTGGTGGTATTTTACCATGAAATCAACCAAAAATTGTGTTCCAAAATTTCCTAACTTCCAACATGTTTCCGAGAAAGAACCCGCAGTGTCTCTTTCGCTAGGAGAAACTCCTAGTAGACTCCCATCCCGGCTATCCAAATTTTGTCCTCACCTCAAAGTTTCAGTCCACGCGGCGATTCTGCTGATGATTATCTTCAATTTTTAAGGGATAACGCAAAGTTGGGCGAAAACTGTCACTTGTTACATAAGCTTGGCAATGAAAAAGTCTGTAGTAAAAATATATCGACAACATTTTTGTATGAAGGTAAGTATTGTTTTCCCCTTCTCCTCTGGTGGTAAAATTATGATCCAGACCTGAACATTCTGAGAGATCGTGGATTATTAAACAGAGGTCTTCTTCTCTCTTCCCTCCTCCATCGCAAAGTTGATAGGTTAAAAAATTGTAATGGATTTATGGATACATGCACCGAAAAAAAAATGAATATGAAATTTTTGAAAGGATATAAGGCTCTGTAATGATAGCCGTAAGTGCCCGTCTTCTTGTAACGTATTTCAATTAAGAATCAAGTCTGTTCCCATGCAAATTGCGTTACATAACATTTTGGAGGAGAAGATTTATAATGGTGATATCAGGTCCGTTTTTCATATTATTTTCCTCTTTTCTTGTTTTTGCACTGCTATCGGAATGTGCACCGCGTTTGATAGAGAGAGAGAGAGAGACCGCGAAATGATGCAAAGAATTAACGTCTCTTTTTGATCATCATAATACACAATTTTAAACACATTTAACATTCAATTGAAATTCAAACGAGGCATTTCCATCTCGTCTCAACCAAAAGGAAAGAATGATTTTTGTTAAGGATGAATATTATCTCAAGTACTTCCCTCCTCCATCGACAGTGCGAATATAGGAATAATAATTGGACCGCGTTAAAGCAAAAGGAACTAAGTCACACAAGCCACCGCCAAATTCCATCGAGCAATTTATTATTTTCCTACAGTAGAACGGTAGTGTAGTAGATTCTCTCGAAAACATGGGATTATACCATGACGAGAGATTGCATAGCCGTTCTGTGAGAAAAAAAATAATTTTAAAAATAATACATTTTTTGATGAAATTGGTCGGTTGCTTCTCTGGTTGATGTGTGACTTAGTTCCTTTCTCCTTAACGTGGTCCAACTGCCATGACGTCAAAAAAAGGATGAAAAACGCCGCGTAAAGTCGTCATTTTTATGGTCACTATAGACGGAAGACTGCGAAAAAGTCCCAGGGGGTAATGAATAAGGAGTGAAGACATGAAAGGCGGCAGAGGGGAGGTACAGAGGTAAAAAAGAAGAGTGTACGTAAACGGAAGAAGAAAAAGAAATAAACTTGTTTCACTTTCAGCGCAAGGTCGGATGGTGAACAAATGACTGCGCGTTGTAATGGTGTTTAAAAAAAAGAAGAATTCTTCAAGCCTCAATCACTGAGCATTACTGCAAATGACAATAATACTAAGCATCGGTGGCGTGGCGTGCTTTGCGATATATCGATTGATCTGCCTTTTAAACCTATGGAAAATGATCGATGAAAAGGGTGTTCGTAACGAAACCTTAATGGTCGATTCTTCATCATAGCTTCAAATGGGGAAATATCGAAAATTGACCAATTGACCAATCACGCTTCGCAATAGGAAAGCATTGACATTTAACTTCAATTGCGTCTGAAAGCAATTCAGTTTCACGGACCAAGTAAATGCGTCGTCACAGCTTGATCTATATCCGGCGGTTAAACCCACACCGCACGTAAATTCCCATCTAACTAAAATTGTATCTTATAAATTCAGTTTGACCATTACACAGAGTTTTCATTGGCTCAGTTTATATCCTGAAACAATAAAATTAGCACTCCAATAGAGAATAGAAAAGGAAATTGAAAAATGTTGTTTTTTTATACAAACATTCAATTTTTCAACATTCTGTGGGGATCTGGCGTTCAAAAAACGCATTTTTATTCATGTATGTATTATTACATTGCCTGGCTTGAATTTTGTGTGCGTATGTGTGGGTGATATATGGGTACACGTGGATCCCAGTTACGTAAAATATTTCTCCGTATTAAATGAAACAGGTTCAAAGGTAAGATGTTCATGTCTTTCCACTTTAAAACAAAACCGGAACTAGGTACTACTAGACAGCTTGTCACCATTCGACGGGAAAGTGACATTTAATGATGAGGAAAAATCGAGTAATGTTTAACAGCCACCGAGATAATGACGAAAAAAAATTAATGTAGAATATGCGAATCTTAAAATTTTATGCTCTTTTATGCTCACTGTCGTAAAAATGATGGAAGATTTGAGTTCTTTAGCTTAAGTTTTATCTGGTGGTACGTTTCTTATAAATATTAAAATATATCGATATCTACCCATCACCCGTAAAATGTTTCGGCAAATATTTAATTATTCATTAATAGTTTAGTTTGAAAAAGAAAATTCCTGAAACTTGTTTCTTTGGAATGCGAAATTTAAAGAAGTTTACCATCAAGATCGAGTGAAATTAAGTCTGTCTGTAGTGTGCCGCGTTTAAACCCTGGTTTTTAAACTTTTAGCCCAAATCTAAATTTTCCAACAAGGAACAAACGTATTGCTAATTGACCTTTTTTACTCACAAAGTTCTAAGTTACGTCATCTTCTTGGATAAAACGATCGAATTTTTCACAAAACAGTAAAAGCTGTTGAACTAAGACTTTGAAATATTTAAAAACTCACGCTTTCACTTGGAGATTATTTATTAATCTGCAAGTGAAAGCGTCAGTTTTTAAATATTTCAAAGTTGTAATATTACATCACCTTATTTGAGTTTCCACTTGATCTGCAAATGGCACTTGTTAGATTATGCTTGAGAAAATCAGGACATGACATTTGAAATAGGAAAAAAAGGTGCAAGTAAAATACTTACAGCACTTGGAAAAAACGTATTAGAATATAATTCATTCACTTTTTATGTAACAACGATCACCTACTAACATTAGCCCAACGTACTTAAATTGTAGGACTCCTGACATTTATCAGACCAAACCGCATTAAAAATCGGAAAGAAAGCAAAAGCAGAAGAAGAGAAAAACGAAGAAGAAGAAAAATAAAAAAATTAACTATAAAATGAGGAGAAGAGCAAAAAAATAGAAAGAGGTAAAGAGGGAGAAGGAGATGAAGATGAAGAAGACGAAGAAGAAGAAGAGGATGAAGATGAAGAAAAAGATGAAGAAGAAAATGAAGAAGAAGAAGATGAAGAAGGAGATGGAGGATAGGATTAAGAAGAAGATGAAGAAGAAGATGGAGAAAAAGATGAAGAAGAAGAGGCAGAAAGAAGGGAAGAAGCTTAAGAATTTGAAATAAGTCGAAAAGGGAAAAGAGGAAGATGAGGGAATTAATAACGGCGAATAATTCCTCTTTCCTTGTATTTTCACGTATTTCCCTTATTTTTCTTCTTTCCCCTTCCTGTTTCTCCTTTTCTTCTCCACCTGTATCTTGCAATCCAGAAAACAAAAATTCGAGTCAAAATGAGCCGAGTCCGCCAGCGGCCTGATTATAAAAATTGATAGACAAAGCGATAGACGAAGAAGACATAGAGAGTACGAAGCGATCCTATAGGTGGAAACGGTTGGCTCCTAATAGACTAAGGGAGAAAATGATGGACTAAATTATCGGGTCTCTCGTGGGTTGCCGTTTGTTAGTCTATCACCCACGTCCTTTGTCCATTGCAACCACTCGCTTCCACCAATAGGATCCCTCCAAATCCATTTCGTCCTCTTTGATTATGGCTTTGTCTATCAATTTCAATAATCGACCCGCAGAATGGGGTTAAAAGTTGCCTTTACATGCACCAAGCCAACTCAAATCTTTACCCGAAGCGTGGCGACGTACACTGCAGGTAATAGAGTTGTACATCACAGTCTGAAGGAACACCGCCGATCGCACATGAGTGATGCAGTGAAAAACACCATCGGACGTAAAGAGATTCATTTATGACTGAATTCCCGCAGACCCGAATTCATCTTGATAGCCGCAAGTTCATCTCGTGCGGTGCGGCAGCCGCAAAACCGGACCCTCGCCGGTAGCCGAGTATCTCCGCCGAAGAACGAGAAACAACAGTAAGTCCATTTTCAGCACGAGCCGTGAGACACGTAACAGTACGGGTTAAGGGTGGCTCACACCGTAACGACTTACGGCTGTTTTCCGTAGTGCGACGGATCTCCGATGAGCCGCGACGAGTTTAAAATATGGGCGGCTGGTCGCAGTTATGAGATTTTATCCGAAATTGACCGTCTAACGGCCGAGTATTTAATATAAATCACACCGGGAGAATAATGGGAGTTATCGCGAGGTGCAATTACTGAGTTCGGTAATACTTTTCCTCGTCGGCGTGATGGATCATGTTGCCTCGACGGCACGGAATATGTTGGGAGTGGACTGAATTTGGACTTATGATGGGAAAGATACATTTGAATTTATTTGTTGACGACTCGAAATATGAAAATAGCCAAAATGAGTGAGGAGAAGTGCTACTAGGATAGTATCAATAAACTGACCTTCGTCAAATTAATTCTTGCTGAGAAGCTTCGTTTTAAGAAATTTG